GAGGGTTCAGAAGACCCAGCATGCCCTTGCCTTTTCCTGCTTTGATCTCACCAGCGGCTCCGGCAACATTTGAATCCTGATCGAACGCTTTCCATAAGTGGTACAGGGCAGTAGGTGAGGGCTTGGTGCCAACATCCAGGAGGATACAGATGTTCGGTTGGAGGGCGCGGCCAAAAGCGTTGAAGAACCAACGATGCGAATTAAGCTTCTTTTTGTTATGCTCCTTCAGGCAGAAGATAACCTGGCACGGCATGATGCCCTTCTCGGCGCCCTTGAACTTCAGGTCGGGGTCGAGAGATACCTGAGTGGTGTACTCGTAGACGTGTGCATTGACTTGCTTCTGGTTAACGATGTTCTTGGCGATACCTTCCTGGTATACACCAAGAGCCGCCAGCGCGTTAAGGGTCCTCGGATGGACCTTTTTACGGCCGTCTGCAATAATACAAACCACGATCTTCTTCCACCCGTCTTTCCCCCATGTTCGCGACTTCGAGCGGGAGCAAAGATGACTGATATTTCGCATAACGCCGTGCATGGTCCGAGTAAAACAGATCTCGTCCTCGTTGTACATGGTCACACAGATAAATAGTTCCGTTTCACGCATGGTCGTGCCGATTTGCTGTCGCAATTTGTATCCTCGCTGCGTAAAGTCGTCGGGGTCGCAGGTCACGGCGGTATACCGCATGTGTGTAAATTCTCGGTCGTCTCGACGCGGCAAAAAGCTATGGAGAATGGTCGGAATCTTGCACTCCAGGATCAGCTCGCCGTTGACCAGCTGGACTTCTTTCTTGATCATCTGGGCTTCGCGAACACCTCGACGACTCTGCTTTTCTGGGGCAGGCCCGTAATGCAGGTTCGGGTCCACCATTCCCGTCGCTTCGTCATATTCATCCAGATCAATCTTGTTCATCGCTTCTTTTTCGTCCGTGATCATGGTCGACTCGCTCATGAAGGAATGCACACTGCCATGTTGGCCATGACGATGAATCGTCCTTCCGCCGCCACCGAATACGTCGTCATCCGGATCGCCAATGTCGATGCTTGTATCCTGCTCACCCATCGTAGATCGCGGAGCCGTGAACAACGGAGCGGGTGGCAACGGTCGTCGTGGACTGCCCCCATATCTCGAACTCGGGGTACCCGGGCGTGGACTGCCATTGAGGTCGGCTCGCTCATACTGCGAGCTCAACACAGAGGGGGCTCTTGGGGCCCTAGCCCAGTCGCCCACGTGGCTGGGAGACCAAGGTCGGGTTGGAGAACCAGGGCGTGATGCGTAATCGGGCACATCGACTACCGACGTTGCGGGTGGTGGGATGTTCGGAGCATTTCGCATGCTGGAAGCTGGCCGTGAAGGCGCATCCTCGGTTGCATACTGATAGTACCGGTTTAAAAATTGTCTCGGGTGATCCGTCCTATTACGAGGGATGCGAGCGTTAAATCTCTTTCTTCTCTGTCTTGCCATTGTCCCCGGGGACTAGTCTGAGACTCGTGCATGGAGTCCTTAGACCTTTTTCAGGAAGGAAGACAACAGAGGGGCAATCGTGCATATATCATCCGCCTTACGGGACAAGGTATCCCAGTGGCTTTCCTTGTTTCCCCAGCGGACGACTTGCAATGATTGCACCCAGGGCGATCATTGGCTCGACACAAACAAGGGGGAGGGAACTGGGCAACCGAACCGTTGGGCCAGATTCCGATGAAGTCATCGGTATGTGGGCAGAACATGACAGGTGCATTACTTACGGAGAATCTTCGTCTTCTTCATACGCCTCGCCGTAGTGGTAGGCCGAGGTATTTCCCACGTTTTCCCTGAAGTCATCATCTACCGTCGTGGTACTCGTGGGCAGCAGTCGCATGGTCGGCGCGGCATGACGAGGGGATTCGTGCTCGGAGAGGTACGGGCCTCCATAGCCGTATGATGGAGGCTCTTCCTCGTAGTTCGCCGCCGGCGGATATATGTGCGACGAGTTGGGATTCATGATTGCAGACGCTGCGAGATCAGTTTCTCATGATCAATCGACAGCGACAGCACCCCGATCACAGGGTAAGGTCAATTGGAGGGTGCCGCAATAACCTGGGGTATGGGTAGCAACCAGTCGTCAGTTCCGATGGCTCTGCAATGTCAGCTACATCAAATGGTGGTTCAAGAATGCAACTTACCGGAGGAAACTTTCTGGATCGTGCTTCAGGGCACGTAAACAAACCCGGAATGTTTCAAGCCGCCACGATAAGACTTCCGAAGTCACTGTGAGGGAGATCGATGTGCGAAGCTTTCTCCAGGACGGTGATTCAGTCGGGTGGATGCTAGCTTGCTCATAAACAACCCACGATCGCGGTACAGACGTCAATATCACACGCGCCGCAGGAGGGGAGAAATTTAGTCAATTAAATCCAGGCCCCCGTACCTGGCGACTTCCCATGGATACCGGCCTTTTAGTCTGATCGCAATGAATGGAGCAACGTGGAGGCGCTGCCGTTGCCCAGGCAACGGGCGCTTGTGGGAGCCAAGTCTCCTTGCAGTGGAGTCGCAAAACATCACCAGCGCCCTTCCTCCCACTCCAAGACATTCGAGGAGTACCGAGATGAAGTCAAGTCACCGCGTCTCCGTTCCATTCATCCCTATGCACGTCGCACTGGTCTTGATCCCAGTCGACTTACGGGCTTGTACAAGACCCAAAACAATCCCGGGTGGAGCACCTGATTAGATTGAAATGCTTTAGCGGCGGCAGTGACCACAACTAAGCAAGTCGATAAATTAAGTAGATTAAATAGATAGATAGATAGATCAAACAACCTCGTGCCAGATCCACGCAACTAGTAATCCAAGATTCACCATCAAATATTACACAGTACAGCACTAATGATCGGGAGTCGATCAATTTCCAGCGCAAGCCGTGACGAAGTAGCTGAATTCAAGTGGAACAAAAAAGTGGAGATCAAGACTCCGTGCATCAATCGTCCAATTCCGATTGCATCCGCCCAGTTTCAGCCGAACAGAAAAACAAAACAGGTCAATTTGGGGTCCAGATTGCAAATGACTCCTGGCGGCACCGTCGTGTGATCCAGGGCTTGGTGGGCGGCGACCCATTCTCAGGCCGCCGCTCCTGACTGCTCATTGAGCAGCGGTTCTCGCTCCCGATCCGCGGTTTCTGGGTGGGTGAGCCTGCGGAACAAAACGTCGCGCCCGGTATATTTAGTGCCAGTGATATAGAGCGACTCCGCCAGGAAGACCGCAAAGATCACAAAAGCAAAAATCCACTGCAGGGCGATGGTTTTGACGGCAATTTGCTTCAGTGCCAATCCTGCATGGGGGTCAGCCGTTTATTCATGTACCAATCCTCCGGGACTATATATATTCCTCACCGAGAAACAAGAAACTCAAGCAGTAGCCTAGCAGATCGTCCTGCCCCACTGTAATGTGGGTTGTCCCGATGAGGAAGATCACCCAGATGAAGACATTCGCGACGATCCTCGCCGGTAGCGAGTTGCTATGCACGGCGACGGCACCGTTCCAGAACAGCGCCATCAGCGTCCAGGCAAAGGGCCCGGCGATTGCGGACAAATGTACCAGTGGGGGCAACGCACGATGTCGCCAGTAAGCCGTATGCTGATTGACCAAGTGGGCCATCAAGATAATCTCGGAACCCCAGAAGTGGCCCCGAGTCCAGAGGAGGATCCAGGCGAAGATGAACAGGTTGTTAAGAATAAAATGCGCACCGACATTGGCGGTCGCCGTCACGATCGAGGCATCTTTATGGAAAAGATGGTAGACATAGCTGAGTTGGGAGATTAGAAGAAGGATCCTACCGCATCGATGTCAGTCTAGTTGACGTATTTTAAATTTCCGTTGGTAGTGTTGGAACAGAGAACTGCTCGGAACAAAAACAAAAGGCAAGAAGAAGAAAACCGAACAGGAGCAAGACGAACCAGTAAATGCCAGTGACGGTTGTGCTCTGACTGAAAGGCGTGATATGGTGGTTGGCCTGGTTGAAGATGGCATGGCCGTGTTTGGCATTGGCGGGGGCATGGACGGTATAGTAGATCCCGACCACCACCACCAGCAACCACGACAAAGGCACCAGCAGACGGTAGGACCCCAGGGAATAGGATCCGTGCGACTCTTGTCGGGCGAATGGATTATCTTGGCCAGAGATGCGGGTTAGTGAAGGGCGAGGGCTGCCTTCTCCGGAACACCACTTACGAGAAGCCATCACCGTCGTACTACTAACTAGTAGCCGTATCGAATAGTATAATTATCGTAGTCGTATGTACGACTGTGAGGGGGGTGGGTAAGAAGAGATGAAAGGAGGTGGCAGAATTCGAGATATATAGGAGAGAAGGTCACTGATACTTTTTAAGACGTAGTATCGTCGTACCCCCGCATTTCGGGGTCTTCTGACGTTCACCCTCACCACTCGGACAAGAGTCCAGATTACTTACTACCTGTGGTAGTTCGGCCTGACTAGTTAGTTACTACTCTCACTTGAACCATTCGGGTATAGCTCTTCTGCCGGTCCTTGCTCTTCTTTCTTTGTTTCTTGTTTGTTTCCCCCCGATCACCGCTGATAGTATAGTATAGGATAGTATAGTATAGTGTACGGAGTACTAGTAGTATACTGTTAGTGTTGTATTGTATTTTACGTCAGTGAGATGACATGGGTCATGACGTCATGGGTCGAGTCATGGAAGGATCATGCCATCATCCAGGGAAAAAGAAAAAGAGAAAAAAAAAACAATGCGGATAAAAGTAGTACGATCAAGCAATGAGGGAGGGAAATATGCATAAACCCAAAACCCCACGTCGGGCGATCTTGTGCACAGTCCGACTTCCAGATTTGGTGAGAATGACCTGACTTGTCATGCTCTATCAAGTGATGGATACTATCGCCTTTGTTTTCCCCCTACACCGTCACGCAGTAAAAGGGTTTTATCAAAAATAGAAAATAGAAAACCAAATGGTCCAACGTAAAACTCTTGAAGGAATCAGATTTGTATTCTTTCTACATGATCTGTTTTACAGCTTCAACCAGCCGTCCGTGGATGGAGGCCGGCGCCACTATCATTCCGTAACAACCGGCCAGGGTCCTGCCGAGGCTACAGTCCACCGGATTGCCTGCAAGGTCGCTGACGATACATCCTAGCTCCTGCACGATCAACATGCCCCCTGCGTGATCCCACATTTTCGATCGATAGGACGCGTTGCGTGGGATCTTGATCAAAGTATTGCAGCCACCGACTGCAATGGCGACATATCGCAGCTGGGCCGCCCAAAGGTCCGTTGTGTGTGGCCACGGCGCGCCAAGGTGGGACGCAAGGCGTTCATGCGCGACAATATTCGAGGAAGTGGCCGCCACGCAATCCACAAAGTCAAGATCCTTAGGGTCGGTGATCTGAGGCTTGGCATCGATGCGGTTAGCGGGCAAGAGGGCCCCGGTGCCCATCTTCCGCATGAATGCACCGTGACCGGCAACGGCGAAGAGTTGAGACCCATACCCATCCCGGTCCACAATATCCTCGTGCATGCGGCCCGTTTCAAGGTTGAGATTCGGAGCCCCCAAGACGCCGAGCTTTTGGACCCCGTTCTCTACAAGTGCCAAGCAGACCGCGTACTGCTGTCCATTGATGAACGTTGCGGTGCCATCCACCGGGTCCAAAACCCATGAGCGGTTCTCCCGGTTACAGGTGCCGCGGGCACCCAAATCAATCAAGTCGAGCATCTCCTCCTTGTCCTTGGGAGAGTAAAGGAACGCCTCACTCGTCTCATCGTCGAGATGGATGGAGGAGACGAGTTCCCACGTACGCTCAAGCAGGGCCTCGTTCGCCCGGAGAGCCTTGGAGTCTTCTTCGCCCACAATATCATCGTCCGGGAAGGCACGATGGATTGCCCCAATGATCAATGCTTGGGCAGCAAAGTCCGCAATGGTCACGGGGCTCGAGTCGCTTTTGTCCAAGGCCCCCTTGTCGACCGCATCGAGCACCTTCTTCGTCAACAGGGTAGCTCTTTGCACCGCTAGGCAAGCAATCTCGAGCTCCTTCGTGTAGGGGTGGGCTGGCTCTATCATCTTAAGTCTTTACTACAACTGGTCCCGTAAAATGTCGGTCAAGATCACGATCAACTGTCCAGCAGTTTAGAAATAGTCGAAGTATGTACTCAGACACAACTGAGTGCCAACTCTATTTCGAACCTTAGCGAGTCAGAACGGTGGATATATTCTGAGAGCGTCTACCTAGTGATCGATTTCCGAATCAAGCACGAAAGTCCAAGGGAACCCAACAAAATTAGGGTGTCAATTGAGTAAAACCAATACCGTCGAAGAAGCCCAGGTTCCAATGATACGTATGATGCCTCCGAGGAGGCTCGATGGGAGATGTAGTGGCGATGAATTGAGTCACTGGCTGAATCGGAGTGGTTTTGCCATACGAAATACCCTGCGGTCGGCCAAGCTTGGTCTAGCGGGTCTGTTTCGGGCATAGCGTTATCATGGCCCGATCTTTTACGTTCATGTACCGTACGGTATTGTATGATACATACATCTCCAAGAAGAGCGGTGTCTGTTTATCCAGCAGCTTCTCGACCCACGCTACCGTATTGTTTTTCTGCGGAAAGCTTGTGACTTTCCTTTTCCAGAACGGGACTAGTTCAGGCCGCTTTTTTGCTCAGTGATTGATCCTGGAGCGTGGGGAAAAGGCAGAAGTGCGTGTGCCGAGCGCTCCGTGAGTATCGAGCGAGCGTGCCGGAGCGATCCGGGAGCAAACCTGGATCAATCAATTCCCAGAGCAATAGCCCGCTGCCCACCTCTTCAGTTAATTCGAGGGAACAGAATATCTAATGTCCGAATTGATAAATAAGGTCTACTTCACGAGCAGTAAACTACGTGTATTACTGTTGTAGAGTTTCAGCTGGGTGCTAGCTAACTTACTGAGTAGATTCCGCCCCCTAAAGTAATTGAATTCTGTAGCTCTTGACAGAAACATGTTTCAATAGATCTAATTCTGTCTGCTAAATATTTTCTGATATAGTTTGACTCTTTGTGCTACTAACAGAGAGCTGCACAGTGCCAAACATACAGTTTCTCGTAATAAGAGACCAGATTAAGAGGAAGAGGGCTATTTTCCTATTTCGGTGGTCCCGGCGTCTATGACTTCTCTGAGATGATGTTCATCGATTCTGTATAATAATGAAATTATCTAGGCCTAAAACTGCATCGGTTAATAATCAGTAGTGGTGCTTTTGGAGGTAGAAGTATTGCATATTAAGGGCTGTAGTATTTTAATCATACGCCGTCCTTAAGTGCGGAATATATCGTACTATATTTATTGGCGTTTTAATGACTTAAGAATACTTAGGTACGTTTTCTAAAGATGAGTCGGCTGCTGCCAACTGCTGGAGGTATTGGTATAAGCAGCATGTAAAGGTTGGTTATACGCAGGAACTAAATTATATATTGTCTTGTATACAGCCAGGGAAGAGAAGTTACAAGGAGCAGACCGATACAGTACAACTAAGTGCGCAGGTCCCTTGCGGAACGCGGGTTCAGAAAATATAGTAATCTTTGTAAGGGGCCGGTTGGTAGCTGGTAAGATTATCATCCAGATGAAGGCTGCTTCAAACTATTGAGAAATGGCCTATCAAATATCAAGCGTCCGTACGACGCCTAGTATGCAAAATTTCCATTGGTGCATCGACACCGTAATTCATGGCTTTCTTTAGATCTCCCAAGAATAGGCTTGCGATGCATGCCACGACACCAAAGGGAACTGCAATGATGTAGACAACCCTGAAGCCATCGGCATATGCCTGTTTCAGGGCGCTGATGCCGGCGTGAGGATTTCCGAATTGACTCCCTTGATGCTTTCCAAAGCTGCACGATCGTCGGATGACAGAGCCTTGACAAAGGCTTCGATTGAAGACTTCGGCAATCCCGCATGTAACGCCGCGGTTGAAACATACTGCGGAATATATATCTTCAAGCGTGCGTTAGATGCGGCCGAAAATATAGCCGTGAAGACAGTTGCAGCGATGGCCCGAGAGCAAGTCGTGGCTGCCGTTGCGGTTGCGATTAGATGATGTGGTGTTGAGAGCTGAACCCCAGCAATTACCAAGATCAACGGGGCACCGAACCCTACCCCAGCCAGGGCGATGAATGCCATGGCGTTGAGATCGCCACTAGGTTGAACTGTAGCCAGCCCAACGAGGCCGCAGGTGAAGATGAAGAAGCCGATGAACATTGGAGAACGGATAGTACGGAACTTCGTACTATAATAGCCGTAGATCACCGTGGCAATGGCAGAAGCAATCCAGTAAGGAATTTGCCGAGCCGCCTCCAAAAATGGGTCCGTTTCGAACAAAGCCATCGTCCTATCACGATCTGAGATCAGTAAAATGGACGTCAGAATCCTGACAACAGACAATGCTTACAGAGCTGGGTAGAAGATAACGATTGCAAAAAGCATGATCCCTTCAATGAAAATGAGGCCGATACAGATAGCGAATGTACAGCCCGCCTTCTCCCCGGTTCTTCCCCCATGAAAGAGATCGTGGTGTAGAATTCCAACCCTGGTAAATCTCCACTCGTAAATCCCAAAGGCGATCAAAACGAGTATTCCTATGATCAAAGTAGCCAAGACTGGCGCACTGGACCAGGTATAAAGGCCTCCCCCCAGGTTGAGTCCCGTCAGGAAAATGGACAGTCCCGCAGTTAGCAAGAAGAACCCTGGAAGATCGACACAGCCAAGTTTTTGCCAGAATGACAGATGGTCAAATCGAGTGTGTCTTTTAGGGGGCCGATATCCAATGAAAAGCCCAATCGCTGTCATTCCCCAGAGAGCCATCTGAATCCACTTGACATTCTGTCAGATATACCAGAACTGCGGCGGCTTGAGGGGGGCCACGTACGTAAAAGTGCCTCCAACCAGTGTGAGGATTTGATCTCGTCAGCGCACCAATTATCAGAGGCCCCGAGCAAGCCCCGAAGGCTCCAGCAATATTGATAAAGGCTTGGACCACTGTGGAATTATTAAAGTCAATGAGATCCTTTACACTGGGAGAAGATGTCAAGTCGAACTCACTGGGTCTCCATTTTCTAGGCAAAATATCACTCGGAACGCAGTAAGCCAGCGGAACAGTGGCAAATCCAAAACCGATCAGCACCTGAGCTGCTATGAGACGATATATACTGGTTGATCCGGGCGCAATTGCACAACCTATAAACGAGATAATGGATGGTCCAACCAGAAATGCCTTTCGGGCCTGGAATGTATCTGATAGAGACGCAATGAGAGGCGCGAAGACAGCTTGGACGAGCGACAGGGAATTCGGAACCCAAGTACCAGCGGTAGTGTTATTAAGGTCCTTTTCAATATATGAAAGCTAGCGGAAGAGTGTCAGCTTGCCAATTGGTTGCAGAACTCGCGAGGCCTCTAGTACCGCAGCCGGGGGACTGAGCAGTCCAAAAACTTGCACGAGATTCAGCAGAAACATTGCAGCCAGAGCAAAGTACGTCTGTGCATGCAGCTCTGGCTCTTGATCCTCCTCGTACGTTAGATTTCCTTCAATAGGCTCTTTGGCATGTTCCACATGTTGAAATCGTTCAACGACATTGTGCTTGCCATCACCAAGCACATTCTGTCCGGGGGCGGAAGACATTTCAGATAGGGAGAGGACAGCCAAAATTGAGATAGAGAATATGAGAGAATAGAGGGCGATACAATTTCAGGGAAAGGAGCTAAATCCCTTTTAAGTCGTTTTCTACACCCTACGGCCTATTGCCTATTGCTTAAATCGGCTGCTGTCCCCGCGTTTTCCCCGGATTCAGAGCTATGACCTTCCCCACAAACAGATGACAGGTCCCGCAAGACATGAAATGCTACCAGGTGCTATGATCCTCCCCACAAACAGATGACAGGTCCCACAAGGCATTAAATCCTACCTCCGCGCGTTCTGCCGAGTTTATAGTGACTATTATAAGAGAAATACGGCTTTGTATAGCGCTGTCTAAACAGTATACATGAGATACGCGCCATTATGTATGGAGATTGTTTCTTACACCAAATTTCCTTTTACCAAGGCGATTGTACAAATTATTTGGCCGTACTTTTCGGGTATAGGACGGGTATGCAGCGGGCTGCCACCGTCGAACCTCCTGAGAGCTCCTCTTTGTTAGCCCGGGAATATTAGTGTGAGAATAAGGTAAAGTACTCCCAAACGAATGTTCGCCTGTGATTTCAATCGTGCTGTCCATATCCCTCCCAGATCTTCAATCTGGCTTATCCAAACTGGATTCGGACACGTAAGAACTGTATGGAAGCTAATGATGGCGCACCCGATTGAGCCGACTTTTGAGCCGCCGTGGCTTGTTTGGTGTCCGGTGCCCAGAATACAATTCGAGTCTGTAATCTGCTCGGAGGTTCAGAGGAAGGGCGCTTTTTGCGTCTATCCTGAGCAGCAGATATGCCAGATGGCTCAAGTTGGATACCAGTATCATCTGCTTTGAATGTTTCACTTTCATCGCAACCTGTTGTAGGGCTTTGCCAAATAGATTTGTCATAAGTATGCATGTCATGTAGATGACGGCGGAAGTTTCGCTCGTTGTCGAAAGCCTTCTCGTCGAACTGGCCTGGACACTTTCTGGGCCAATGCACTTGTTTGATGAGAGGTTCTGAATGACTAACTCTAAGATCATGACTTCGAGTAAATGGCCTGACATGGCAAGCACGAGCCGTCAAGTGATTCTTCCAAAGGCAAAAGATGCAAAATGTTGATTTGCCCAATGTACTGCGGTAGGTAATGGCCTCGTAATGAATGCCAGTGCTGCTGGCCATCGAGGAGACGTGGCTCTTGCAATGTACATCATAGTAATCCTCATTACAATTCATGAAACACTCCCAGCAATAGGACATTGCTTTGGAGGCATTCGCTGGACGAATTTGGATATCCCTTTAGATACATTTGTGAATATGATTGTTTCTTTCCCCTTTCCTAAAGCTATATATGAAGTCAGCGTTAGAAGATCCTATGCTATAGAAATACGTGGGACTTACTCATCCACTCTCCCTCCACATTCTGGAACAGGACATGACCATCAACAAGGGCTTCTCCCGGACGGTATATCACATCGAAGTCTCTGCTACCATGAATACAGAGATCCTTAATGACAGCCAACTTTTCATCATACAGAAGCGGTTCGTTTAGCGACATGACTGCTGCCAAACGTCCGAGTTCAGGCATGATCTTAGAAAGCGTTCATGTACATCCAGTATCATCAAGATATTCAGCGTGTAGTTGCCTCCGGTAAGGATGTTCCAGTCTCTTTGTTTTTGTACCCAGCTGGTCTGATATCGCTGCCGGACCAATGTACGAAGCCGAGCCTTTACTATGCCATGCTGCCTTTTTATTTGCGTGATTAGGCCAGCATTTCCACTTCCGACGCTCAACTCTAAGATCTTCCCCTCCAAGTTAGTTAACTGCTTCCTCCTCTGCCGCAGGTAACTTGCGTGTCAAGCCTTGCTCGTGAAATTGGCCACAGTTTTGGAAATAGTCCATATGGGTAGTGTCTTCCTCTTCATCCAGAGCCTGATTCACTGTACTTATAGACGAGCAGTGTGCGATATAACCCCGGCCATAGACAGCATCAGACCTCTACGTTAACACTTGAGCGACCATTGCGGAAGAGCAATTTTCTGCTGAAGCTGTTAGCCATTCTTCCGAACATTATATGAAACTTCTTTTTATGGGGGGAAACGAGACACCCACTGTTAATCTCCTTGCCCAGTGATCGATGCATGGCATGTACCGTAGGAGTTTTGAAATAGCCGGCATTGTTTGCAATCTAGCGGGAAAGTAACGTAACCGGCAAGCGACCCGCACCTGGAAGCCAGCCCGCACCCTCTGATATCTATAGAAAACTGTCTTTTTCAAACAATCATATCTCACCCACTAGTAAATTTATGAGTTTAAAAATAGAGTATATAATTAATACCGATATTCTTTATATATTAACTGGATTTAAATAGAAACAAAGTCTTAGAAGATATAAATCTTAACTATATACTATAAAATATGGTATAATATATCTGTTTATAGTAACCAGCAATTCAAAAAATCTCTTAGCTTAGTATATTATTATTATAGTATATAATAAACTACATATAAACTTTTAAGTAGATAGAACCTGGATTGATTGAGATATTGTTATTTAAAAAAGACGGTTTTCTATGGAAATCAGAGGGTGCGGCTGGCTTACAGGTGCGGGTGGGACCTTTATAAAAGCGGCGGGAGCCATAACAAAATGGGTCGCAGTATAATGCTACTATCATCAATCCACAACCTGTCAAGCCCACCTAGGGCAAGATTTAATGAGGACGAACACCGCCCGGGTATAGCTCTGGCGAACTTGCAGACCGTCTCTTGACCGCCGCATATAACCCTTCTTGCTTGAAGAAAAAGAAGTTCTGGGACTGAAATTTCTCCGGGTTTACGATCTCCAACTGTGCAGAGTTAGACACCGTTCACAATCTTTTCCAGGGAAGCGCAAAAGCAATACAGACCTCGTAATGAAGCATAAGAGCGGAGGTGAGCTTCTTCAGCTCTAACAGTGCAATATTTTTGCCAAGGCATACTCGCCTCCCAGCACCGAACTAGACAGTTGACCGTTACTCTCCATTTGTGTCAAGAATAGTATTATGAACTCACGCTTAGAAGAGCGTTCTCCATTTTCCGAGTGCGAACTGGATTCTCGAGCCATCTTTCAGGTCTCCAGGCGTCCGCGTCTTCGCCGAATGTTGGCCGATGGCGGTTGATAACCCAGGGGTTCATTCCGATCACTGTCCCACCGGGCAAGAAATGATCGCCGATAGTCATCCCTTCTGTGGGAACGACTCGTTCGAAAGGCAGGCAGAATGGTGGATGTATCCGAAGCGCTTCATTGACACAGGCATTGAGGTACGGTAATCTGGAAATCTCGCTCCATGCCGGGAACGGATAAGACAGCTTCGACTCCTGTTGGGCCTGGACAAGTTCCTTACGCAGGCGATGCATAGTAGCTGGATGCAAGAGTAAGTTATGCCAGAGTGCTTTCATGGCCACAGCGGTCGTGTCAGAGCCCGCAATCACGTTAGAGAATGACCAAGCCGTCACAGCCCTGTTGGGTCAGTTTAAGTGGGAAGACATTATTTCCGCGGCTCACTCACCAGGGTGGAATAGCGTCGCCGTTCGACTGGATGTGCATAAACCGAGACAGAAAATCCTTTTCGTTTACCTTCTCCAATGTACTCATAGTATTGGACAGCTCCTCTCGTCGTTCGTTAATTCTTGACAGCACAACGTTTAAGATCGGTTGTGCTGGTGTGGCCCGAAATAGAGCGATAATGGGGTTTTTATTCCACACCAAGTCAACCCATGGCATCTGCGTGACCTATGGCAAGTTAGCTAGGCTTATTCTATGGCTGCCATGGTTGTTCCACCTCACCGGTGCAGCAGCCTTCATAAAAGCCCAAATAGCCGAAAGCAGACCCGTGTCGTCTCGCCCCTTCTCTAAAAATCCATATCGCCGAGAGAAGGACATGGTCCCCATCACGTCAAATGCAAAGTACTGCAGCCAGATTCCGAGATCGAATGCCGCCTGGTCGGGAACGAATCGCTCTTCAAACTGGCGAAACAAAATCTCAAGAACTTGGTCGACAAACGTCTCGAATGTCAGGATATGTGACAAGGAGTACAGGTGTGCAATAGGAGTCTTGAGCTTCTTATGAAGGGCTTCATCCCGGGTGTTGAACACGAGCGGCAACGAGCGGCCTTTCCTGGTATAAGGCATCATTGACCGATAAAAATCACTCTTGACAGACCCATCCACATCAGCACAGATGCCATCGCTTGATACATGGGCAAGGTATCTGCGTCTTACTCACCTTTGGAACCCCGGGGCGAATCGGATATACCAGTGAAATGGCATCCGGGTCCGAGATAGATATCATATTTGGCCCTAACCGAACATACTGGCCATAGCGACTGTGTAAACCCATATGGCGATGGTGCGAGCGAGAAGTTTTGACCCACCAAAGCCTTCCTAGGTCCGTAAACCGCGCTACGAGCGGGCCGGGAAAGTGCCTTAATCTCCAATACGTCCGGGCCACATAGAGGCCAGTGTAGAGACATAGCAATCCAAGAAATATTAACATCACGCTGGGTCGCAAGGAGATAATCGCGTTGGTGCCTAGTAACTTATTAGAGTCAGCTTCACATGTCATTAGGAGTCCAGAAGATAGGCTCACTGTTTGTCCTGGGTGCAGTTCCTTCCTACCAAGACAACAGGCGGGAAAGCAAAGCTCTGATGGCAGAATAGCCATCGCTCCCCTTTAGAAATAGGTACGTCATCTAACTATGTATAGCAGGTTTGCACCTTCACCGTAAAGCGGGAGTTACCAACAAAGTTTGAAGGGTTGAGGCAAAAGCAGACCAGAACGAGGCGCGAACTCGAGAGTTCGTAGAAGGCGCACATGACCCATGCATAACCTAACGACCCCCGTACGTCGTACTAGTGGTAGTGGACACTCTTCTCTTGATCTAACTATTGATCTAGATGCCTCACTATACACGAAGCCTGCATTGGCCCTGTTCCACTGCATAATCCGGTAAAAAAAAATCCCACAAATCTTGAGCAAAGTAAAGTTCCTAACGGAGGTCCCCGGTGCATAGACGAAATTGACTTATCAGTGCCTCACTATAGGTGGCCCGTGCCTGTTCTTTGTCCCCCGTTGTCTTTTTTACCTCTTTTATTATCCGACCCTCCCTTCCGCCATCCGCTTTTGTTTTTCTGTGTTTCATTTTACACGATGAATGCATCATCGTCTGTCGGCTTTTGCTGCCTGATCCAAAGCGACTGCCCGCATACGTAACAAAGAAAGGAGTATGCGGCTTAGGCCTAGCATAAAGTTCGAATTCAAAGTACCTTCAAGGATTCGAAATTCCCTTCTATTTCCACGTACTGATGCATCTGCTAGATTGTCCCCACTGGATGCTCCACACTGATGACTTGCAAACCATCTCAGCCCTTTCCCCTTCCGCAGCCGGCTCAATGGAGATCATGACAGATATGGGTTGTTTGAGGCAATTAGGGACGACCATCTGAATCCGAACTATGCCGGCGGTGTCCTTTCCTGGGTATACAGGAGCTGTTAAGGGATCCATTCGCGCGATGGCCATACTACTACTACTACTCCTCCTCCTCCTCCACCTCGGCCTTTGGTGTGGATCTACGGCTGACTGACACGTATTCATGGGTCATGAGTTTCGCAATCCCATGAACCATGTACTTCAATGATGCACAGCTGTCAGATAAGCCGATCGTGACCGAGACATGCCATGACCAGTACTGTTACTTGGGCTACACGAAGGGCACCTCATCTCTGTCGGACCTTGTTTTGTAGCTCCTTGGTTCCTTTCTATCGTCCTGCATCCTCGAGGTTCCCTTTTTATGGCTGCTTCTCGTGGTAGCCGACTAGCCTCTTGTTCTCACTGGCCGCTTTGCTCGCCTGAGCGGTGGCTAACCGTCAGTGACGTACAATCAAGGGATTAAACCAGTTTGTGGCGGGCCTCGGGACAGTCCAGTACTCGTGGCTTTCGCTCGGTTTCCGGCTGTTTGTGCATGTGACCTATATCACGATAAACCAATCGCTTTAATACCCTTTGAGCATGTGTCTTGTCAACTCCAGCCGCAGCCAGAGACGAAAGCAAAGCCCAAAGCCACCTGCATTCCAGTGCATAACGGCTTTTCGTTCGTGCTGTGCAGGTCCGCCCTGGTTCTAAGGTTCTAGATCATGCGAACTTTAAGATAAACCTTAAGCGTAATTCGTAAATACTCTCGCGCCAGGCAGCAAGGAGGTAGCAGCTTAATGAGGCAAGGGACTCATTTGGCACAATTTCGTATATCTGGCGCCGTTAAATCTCTTGCGCCGTAGAGCTGCGTCCCACGATAGAAAGTGTGGGACTTTCAAGGCACACGACTCGGTCAAGGCGTACACCATATATAGAGCGTTGCAAGAATAGTTTCACGCCCCTTATCCAATATTCCTTGCGCTCTTCGGTACCCCGTCCATCACCTAGGGCTATTACATTTCAACAAACACTAACATCAGCCCAGGAAATCACTGTACATATTTGGTTGGTTGAAGTTCGCAGCGTTCCTTTTGTTCCTAAGCTATATGACGTGAGTCGAGATGGAGGACAACGTAAGAGCTCTTCCCGTCAGATAAACGGGTCATATCAGGAATTAGTGTGCTAATACATTCCAGGATATTTCACACGATGTCGCGGTGGTGGGTATGGGATGTCGTCTACCTGGGAAGATTAACACCCCTGAAGAACTGTGGCGGTCAATCCTCAAAAAAGTCGACGCCTCGAGTGAGATACCTAGCCTACGGTGGGCGCCATACCAGCGAAACGCACAGGACGCAAGGAGTATCGGTAAAGTGCCCCGGCGGGGCTATTTCGTGGAGAATCTAGAGAACTTTGATGCAAGCTTTTTTAGTATTTCGCCCAAGGAGGCGGAGCAGATGGATCCCCAACAGCGCCTTGCATTAGAAGTAGCGTGGGAGGCGTTGGAGAATGCAGGCATCCCGCTGAGCAGCCTGTCCGGGTCCGACACTGCTGTCTTCATGGGCGTGAATTCTGATGATTATGGAAAGCTGCTCCTACAAGACCTACCCCACGTGGAACCGTGGATGGGGATAGGGACCGCTTACTGTGGCGTTGCCAACCGAATATCTTACCATCTGAACCTGATGGGTCCAAGTACTGCAATAGATGCTGCCTGCGCATCTTCACTGGTCGCCATCCATTTGGGAAGACAGGCAATCCTGGGTGGAGAGTCCAAGGTCGCCATTGTTGGAGGAGTAAACGCTATTTTCGGCCCCGGTCTAACAAGTGTACTTGATAAAGCCGGTGCTTTATCCTCTGATGGCCGCTGCCACTCGTTTGATGACGCAGCCAGCGGTTACGGTCGTGGTGAAGGAGCTGCAGTGGTTATTCTTAAAAATATGGCAGAAGCTGTCAAGGACGGCGACCACATCCTAGCTGCCCTAAAAGGGACAGCGGTTGCTCAGGATGGGCGCACAAATGGAATCATGGCCCCAAATCAGAAGGCGCAAGAGCTGGTGGCGAGGAAGGCACTAGAGGTAGCTCGAGTTGGCGCTTCAACCATCGATTACGTGGAAGCCCATGCAACTTCAACACCAGTGGGAGATCCAACCGAGGTTTCCGCAATCTCAGCCGTTTATGGAAAGGGTAGAAGTCCAGATAAGCCATGTTACATCGGGTCTGTGAAACCAAACGTTGGGCATCTTGAAGCAGGCGCGGGTGCTGTTGGTTTCATTAAGGCGGTCATGTCTGTACAGAAAGGAATCCTACCCCCTCAAGCCAATCTGAAGACACTAAGCACTCGAGTGGATTGGAGCGAGGGAGTACGGGTGGTGCAAGATATTGAAGACTGGCCTAGCTCGGGAAATCCACGCCGTGCCGGCGTATGTTCCTATGGATATGGTGGTACGGTCTCTCACGGGATCATTGAGCAGTATATCCAAACAGATCCACCTATCAACTCAAAGGGGCAATGGCCAAAGGGGACTCAGGTTCTTCTCCTCTCAGCACCGCAGAGAAGATCGCTTGAAGCCCAGGCAGCCACACAAGCTGAGTGGATGTCCACTGTTGGAAAGTTAAATGATCTCAGGTGTGTCGCAGCCACCTTGGGAACACGTCGAAGCCATCTTAAGTATCGGGCAGCATTTGTCGTTGAAAGCCACGATGATGCAGCCGAGAAGCTGAATGCGTTTGCCCGCCAGACACCTATAAAGTGGGCCACGTCAGGTAGATTACCAGAAGGTGATGACCGGCCTGTGGTGTGGGTGTTCTCAGGCCACGGCGCCCAATGGACAGATATGGCTAAGGATCTCCTTCAATGTCCAGTCTTTCGGGATGTTATTGAATCGGTTGAGACACTTATACAGGACGAGATGGGGTTCTCAGCCATTCAGGCCATGGAGATGGGAGTACTTAATGGCTCGGACCAAGTTCAAGTTTTGACCTACCTCATGCAAATAGGACTGAGTGCTGTACTACGTTCCCTAGGTGTGAGTTGTGGTGCAGTCATAGGCCATTCGGTTGGGGAGATTGCAGCGTCAGTCGCTGCAGGTTGCATCACTCCAGTTGAAGGTACCCTCATTGTCACTCGGCGTGCAAAGCTCTACCGTCGTTTCATGGGAGCTGGAGCCATGGTTTTGGTTCGTGCCCCCTTTGAACAGGTGACAAGTGAGATCAGCACACAGCATGTCAATCACCTTGTGGCAGCAATCAACTCATCTTCATCTTCGTGCGTTGTCTCGGGACCAAGGGAGGAGATCGAGGCTTTCGCTCTGAATCTGAACAACAAAGGCGTCAAAACATTCCGCGTAGATACCGATATTGCGTTTCACCACCCAATGTTATCTGAGCTGATGGATCCTCTTGAGGAAGCCCTTGATGGCTGTATTTCTCCCTCGCAGTCAAAGGTAACAATCTATTCTACCTCAACAAGTGATCCGCGCAGCACGATGGATCGCGGTATCCGTTATTGGTTGGACAACATGGTCAATCCAGTGCAGCTAACCTCAGCTATAGCTGCGGCCGCAGAGGATGGGATGAGACTCTTCTTGGAGGTTTCCTCGCACTGTATAGTTTCCCATTCAATTTCGGAGACCTTGCTCAATATTGGCGTTGAGGACTATACAGTTACGAACACCATGCTACGTGACACACCAGCAGAGAGAACCATCCTTTATAGCATGGCTCAGCTTCACTGCCAAGGGGCCAAGATCGACTGGAGTCAGTATATGCAAGGTGCTTGGGCCCCTAATGTACCTACAACGACCTGGAACCACCGGCCAATATGCAGGCAGGTCAATGCATGGTCTGAACAACCTACCAGAATGCATGACGTCGACAAACATAATCTGCTCGGCCACCGAACTAGCATTGCGGGTGACAATACTATCATCTACGAAACCAGGATTGACGAACAGACAAAGCCATTTCCAGGCAGCCACCCCGTGCGTGGCTGTGAGATTATCCCGGCCGCAGTCCTGGTGAACACCTTTCTTCAAGGGACTGGGGCCCAAGTGTTGTACAACTTTTGTTTGCGTGTACCTGTTGCCACCAGTGAGCCCCGTGAGGTTCAATTTGTTGTCCAGTCAAATCAGTCCCGACTATGTTCCCGCCTTGTTAAAGGCAACGGCACCGAAGGCGACAGCGGCTGGCTAACGCACACGACCAGCTGCTGGACTGTGGAACAGGATGAACAACCGACCACCAGGAAAGTCGACATTGAGGCAGTGAAACCCCGTATAAACAACAAGCTAGAAGATAACTTCAGCATTGATTACCTAGCTTCTGTCGGGGTCTCAGCCATGGGCTTCCCATGGGTCGTCACCGAGCATCATGGTAATCTGGATGAGATGGTCGCCCGGGTAGACGTGAGCCCCAACAATGGCAGTGGCGAAATACCCTGGGACAAAAGTTCATGGGCACCAATTTTAGACTCGGCAACATCAGTGGCCTCAACACTATTCTTCGACAACCCTCGCCTTCGAATGCCAGCCCACGTCAAGGAGGTCAAAATCCTAGTCGAACAGCCACCTCCTAAAATAGCCTGGTTATATGTCAAGAAAGCCACGGACAGCGATTATGCAGCACATATCAGTATCTGCAATGAGGACGGGACTGTCCTTCTTCAGGTAAACTCGATGAGATTTTCTGAGATTGACGGTACGCCCGAAGACAGAGGCGGCCTGGAAGGCCTTGTGCATCAGTTGGCGTGGCCACCAGCAACTTATAGCGAGAGCCCTTTGGCGATCAGCCATGTCATTCTCATTTCAAGAGACGAGAGTCTGGCCAATGAGTATGCGGCTTCTATAAATCGGGACACACAAACAGTCATCATATTAATCTCTCCAGAAGAATTGGCCAAACTGGCAGAGGATGCAAACGTCTTGCATCAAAAGGACACAATAGTTACCTACATCCCAGGGTGTGTGTCCAGTCTTGATAGTATCACATCTGCCTCTCAGGAATACACCTCTGATCTTGTGAATATCATGAAACTTATCTCCTCTTCAGCATTTTCAATCAAGGTCTTTGTACTCACGCACCGTGTGGCAAAGGCTGAAACAGCCACCTCATTAGCCCAGGCGCCTTTACACGGGCTCTCACGCATCATTTCATCGGAGGTACCTGACAACTGGGGGGCCCTAATCGATCTGGAAACGCCAGTATTCCCATTAGCAATTATGAAATATGTTCAGAATGGCGACATCATCCGGATCTCGGACGGTATTCCACGTGTTGCACGTCTGCGGCCATTACCACGCACAAAAGCACTGCGACCTTCAGGACAGAACTCGCTTCTTCCCCGTCCTTCGGGGACCTATTTGATCACAGGCGGTCTGGGAGACTTGGGCTTAGCAACAGCAGACTTTCTCGTCCAGAAAGGGGCACGCCGAATCATCCTAGTCTCTCGTCGTGCACTCCCCCGCCGGAAGGACTGGGCCGCTCTTGTCCACTCGGCTTCGCCATTGGCACCGACAATCAAAAAGATCCTTTCAATGGAGTCTCGCGGAGCCACTATTCAGGCGATCGCCGTCGACATATCGTCTCATAACGCAGCCTCGCAACTATCCAGCCGCATCGATGACCTGTGCCTTCCTCCCGTTCAAGGAGTTGTCCACGCAGCCGGAGTTCTACACAATGAACATGTCCTGTCTGTCACTCCAGACTCCTTCGAACGTGTCCTCGCACCAAAAATTGCAGGCTCACTCACCTTAAACATGCTCTTTCCGCCTAAAACAGTAGATTTCATGGTCTTGTTCTCCTCGTGTGGCCAATTCTTTGGCTTTCCTGGGCAAGGGTCGTATGCATCCGGCAATGCATTTCTCGATGCTCTCGCAACTTATCGTCGCTCTCAGGGAGATAACACTGTCGCCATGCAGTGGACAAGCTGGCGCGAAATAGGCATGGCGGCTGGCTCCGAGTTCGTCAAGGCAGAGCTGGCCACCAAGGGAATCACAGACATTTCACAGGACGAGGCGTTCCAGGCCTGGATGCACGTCTCCAAATACGACGTCGATCACGCTGTGGTACTCCGGAGCCGTGCATTGGAGAAGCACGAACCACTTCCCAGTCCACTACTTATCGATATTGCTATCCAGAAAGTCTCCTCAATCCTCACTCCACCACCAAGCCCTCCGTTGAGTGCTTCCGGCGATTCACTCACTCCGCCTCAGACCCCTGCAGACCGGTTCGATTCTCTTACAAGACAGGTGCGAGAATGTGTCGCGAGCGTGCTGCAGATGGAGACCGACGAGGTGGCCAGCCAGGAGCTCCTGAGCAATATGGGAATGGACAGCGTGATGACCGTCCATTTACGTGGGCGATTGCAGAAGAGTCTGGGGGTGTTAGTCCCGCCAAACCTTACCTGGTGTCATCCAACGATAGACCACATCGTGAAGTGGTTAATGGAGAAAGCCGGCGGTAACGAGTGATGAGATATTCGGTATAACAATGCTATAAAAATTATCTAATACCGCAAGGTGGAGAAACCTGTCAAATTATTGATTGCTCCAATAATTTTAGCACTGGGCTACATACCTCAGCTTTTTACTTCGATAATCTATCTTCAGAAATGCTTATAATGGTATCTGTTATATAATTCTGCACACTAGTTACGATGATGATGATGATGGAAGCTACTATGGTGAGAAATGATTTGATTGCAACGATTCCTCTCGGGTTCATTCATGTAGGATACGCATGTTTCAATGGTGGTCTCGTATTGCAATGGGAAGGGAAGAACGTGGCATAGGACACATGACAAACCCTTGAGTTTCTGGAGTTGGCATTCAGTGGCATGTTAAACATCAGGACTGCCTAGTAGTAGTAGTAGTAGTAGTAGTAGTAGTAGTAGTAAGTAGTGTACAGAATGAGTATGTTGGAGAATTAACTCGGAATCCATTCTTGAAATGCATAGTTCCCACTATATAACTATCTCACCAATCATTGACTAATCCTGAAAGTAGATTACTGTAGATAAAGATCAATGTTCTAAGGTTGCTACTGTTAGAGATAAGTCGTGGTTCATGACCAAGATTAAGAATTAGAGACACTGCCCAACATTAAAACGAAGCAAACGCTAACTCATAAGCAAAGCCAAGAGTCAACTTCGCGTGTTCCAACATATGGTCAAAACTCAAGTATTTAATCCGGTCATCTGTCGTGTGGATCCTCTTGTTGGTGTTCTCCATCTCAGCCTCAGTAGCCATGGCCGAGGGGTAGCCATATTTACTTGCTGAAGTATGATCGGAGCAGGCGTAGCCACATTTCGTCTCAAGATACCCCACGTTGCAATACTGCGAGACATTTTGTCAGCGAGGCCGTATAAGCAGAAGTGGGAAAAATGAGAGGGCTTACGGCAGTAACCACGTCTTTAAGAAATTGTGTCAGACCTCGATCGACATAATCGATCATGATGCCCACGGCTTCTTTACGGCCAGCATTCAAAGCCCCCTGGATGTAACCGGTCATGTCCTGCTGGAGCATAGCCTTGATGTCACGTCTTTCTTGCTTGTATCGAGAGAAGATCGCCTGGGAGCCCAGCATGCCACCTTCCTCTGCCGAGTACCAGTGGAACTCGATCGTATTTGGCGCCTTACCTTGGGCCACGGTGTCTGACTGCAGCAGACCACGCAACGCCTCCAAGATCGTGACTGTTCCACTGCCGTCGTCATCGGCGCCTGGGGCAGCCAGAATGGACGGGAGGAACAAGTTGATACTATCTTGGTGGGCGCCTAATACAACTGTCTTGTTCGATTTACCCGGAATGCGAGCGATAATGCTAAACTGGCCCCACGGATGGGCAAACTGATCCACGGTCGCGCCATGGTCCGCTGCTCCGGATTGTTCGATCACCGTCTGAACCTGATTGTAGAGCCATGTCGCCGATTCGATTCCGGTCTGGGACTTGTAATAGCGGGTATGGAAGGAGGTGAACTTCTCCAGATCCCGCTCCATGTTGGCCTTGGTAAGGCCGCGGGTCAAGCCGACAACCTCATCGACATGCCCCATCTTCGCCGGATATCGGACGTTACTAGCCTGGTGCAGTGTGGGGTAAAACCCCGGGTTTCGCTCCTCGGTGATGTCAATGAAATTCACGCCATCCTAAGCCAGTGTTAACCGAACCGTCCGCAATGAAGAACTGAATCGTGGAGATATACCAATTTCAAGGCCCATTTTTCTTCTTCCGTCACCCATCTCGTTTGATAAGGTGCCAACTCTATAAGGTACTTTGTATTTTCGTGATGGATTTGTGGGTTATTCAACAGCGCCTGTTGTGGGACTACCGCGCTAGAACGCCTGCAGATGCCGTTGCGCCCAGCGCAAGAGCTGCTCGGATCTTCATGTTGATTGCGAAGAAATCGTCACAATGAAATGACTGTCGATACAGGAGGGGGGGGGGGCGTAATTGCTAGTGAATTAAAGCCTAGATCACAAGAGAAAATGAAGGGAAGGGAGAGAATATGTATTCAGAGGACTATTCGAGGGACAGTGAAGGGGGGGGTGCTGGAGGTACCCGCTCTCTTCAACGGTGATGTAAATGATCGATCGAGTGCAGGCGTTGGAGAAATGGGGAAATGATAAGCAGGAGCAAGAGTACAAGTCACGCGCTGCTGACTACTACCCTATAAATGCCGATGAACAACAACAATGATGGCGGGGATTTAAATGGAGTTTTATAGCTTGGGTTCGATCGATTAAATTGCAGCACGAGAGACAGAGCTCGGGTCTTTTATGCGTCAGAGATACGTTTGGGGGGTGACATCGTAGAATACTTATAAGGTCCGGGTCAGAAGGACTCGCAGCTATAAGGCCCGGTAAGGTGGTAGTAGTAGTACTAGTAGCACAAAAAAGTAGTGAGTGCACCTAAATTGAGACTCTCCAAACCTAATGACAGAAGGCGCAGACACACTAGCCGCTGCGGTGGAGTCAAGAGAGCACTGGACACTGGACACTGGACACTGGACACTGGACTGGGGTCCTCCGTAGGGTCCAAAAGTTCATGCCGGGGTTTGTATTACTATGTATTTATTTACCAAACATGCTACTCCGTCCTCGGTACTGCGAACTGCATTTTTCTCGTCTCAGGTAGGTCGTATCCACCTTGGCCTTCATCACGGCGTACAAACAAGACACTGAATGGCCATGCCTCGTTTGCTCGGTGGTTCTAGTCCAGTTCTCCTTTTAACCACGTCGCATACAAACTGGAACACTACTTGCCCTTTTCCTGTTCAGCCAAGACCTGAACGCTATTAATAATCTTTTGATTCACCCCGCGTTGCGACCGTGTCGGAAATAACAGGAGCTTGTCGTGGCGGTACTCAGTCGGCCCCATCCAACTCCGCCCAGTAACCATCCACTATGTCTTGTCCGGTCTTGACTTTTTGTTTGGCATTCATTTCTCCGGTCGAAGAAGCTCAATCGCTCAAAATAAAAGAAAGGCAGAGAGGATGGATACTAGATCTTTTGATTCGTTCACAAGCTCCCTTTCAGATCAGGCAACCGTTTAATGGGGCTCTCTGAAGGAGCTGTTCCTGCAGCCTCCAAGCTTGGAAGAACGCCGAATAGCGCCCTGCACGCCGTAGTCCCACCTCCAAAAGACAGTAGGTCGTGCCCCGTTGACAGGTCTGATTTTACTTGGGTAGAGCATGGAACCGGACATCATATCAGCGTTCATCCGTCCAGTCAACACCATGTTCGCGGTAAGGGGACTTTTATGGTATACCTTCGTACTCAGTAGTACTGACCAGACCGGTCAGCTCTGTAGTTGGAGCGCCGTCTACGGACCACATTGCACACCGCAATTGTGAAAATCATTGGATTATATTGGTTTCCCTCAAAACAGTACAGCTATAATGAATATATTACTATCCCGTCGAGGGACACCTACCCAGGTTGACTTCATAATACGACTCACATTCAATCATGAATGAATCACGCTGACTCGTCGTCGTCCCAGATATCCTGATTGGGAAACCTTACGCCGGTTAGAGTTCTCTAGGGCTAGGGCTTGAGCCTCTTGCCCAATTAGGTCCAGTTCTCAGGACCCGTGCCCCATCGTGACTCAACCCGTAATAATCCAGAGTCTCCGGACGCGACCGGGACGCCAGCGCGAACGATCCAGGTCCGTATCTCTTATCTCCTTCTCTGGCCCTCAACTCCCCCCGCCCTCTTCTCCTTTTCGCTCCTTCTCAACTCCGCTTATAGCAGTAGTCTATACGAGAGGTAGACTCTATAGGAA